CTTCCCTATCCCATTTTCTTTCCCCTTCCCCCTTTTCCCTTTTCCCTTTTCCCTTTTCCCTTTTCCCTTTTCCCTTTTCCCTTTTCCCTTTCCCCTTTCCCCTTTCCCCTTTTCCCTTTCCCCTTTTCCCATGTTCCTTTCCCCTTTCCCCTTTTCCCATGTTCCTTTCCCCTTTCCCCTTTCCCCTTTCCCCTTTCCCCTTCTCCCTTTCCCCTTTCCCCTTCTCCCTTTCCCCTTCTCCCTTTCCCCTTCTCCCTTTCCCTTTTCCTTTCCCTTTCCCTTTCCCTTTCCCTTTCCCTTTCCCTTTCCCTTTCCCTTTCCCCTTCCCTTTTCCTTTCCCCTTCCCTTTCCCCTTCCTGTTCCCCTTCCCCTTTCCATTTTCCCTTCCCTTCTTCCCCCTGTTTTCATGACCAGCTCAGACCCTTGCTGCTACCCTGGAGTCACAGACAGCTTAAGCTGCACAGAGTAAATACTCATTATCAGTATAAATAGAAACAAGCATAGATGCAAGTTGTCTGACCACTGATGGGTGCTGCAGCCCAGCTGCATCTAAGGCCAGGACCCCTCTGCCACCACAACCAAGAGGCCCCACATCAGTGGGCTGAGTGAGGACTGCCTGTTGGGATGTGCAGCGTGAGTTTGTTCCTGCTGTGCCTCTGTGCTCTACGTCTCGTTTCTTTCACTAAGTGGACCTCAGTCAATGTAAATTTGAGTCAGTGGTGCAGGAGGAATTGAGCTAAGCAGAACTGCATTTTAGCAAATGTAGCACCCTAGATTGATTGAGATAATTATCCTAACATCAGAAAGCAACCGAAAGACCTCCTAGCCCTGGCCCATTGCACCTGCTACCTGAGGATGCTCTGCAGTGGATGCAGTTTGGCCGGGCAAAACAAAAGCGGACTGGGTGGTCCCAAGAGAACACCTCATCTCTTCCAAACGTCCATCGCGTCGCTCGGTGTGAGCACCGCCCCGGACCGCGGCAGGGAAAGAAACGTTTGCAGGAGCGTCTGTGCCGACCCGGTGGCGTTACCACGGAGGAAGCCGGGGGGCGCTCCGTGCCGGGCCGCTCCTCCGAGCGCCGCGTCGCCGCCAGGGGGCGCCATAGCCCGCGGAGAACGGGAGGTGAACCGGGACCGCATCCCGAAGGGAGCGACGGAGGAGCGGGGCGGGGGTTTCTCGGAGCTGTGCCGCGATGGGACGAGATGTGACGGGGAAATTTCCTTACCAAGGAAAAGCCTTCCCATGAGGCTGCTGCGGCCCTGCAGCTGTGACAATCTCCAGTCTTGGAGACTCGCTTGTTTGGAAATAGCCCCGAGCAGGTTGGCCAGAGTTAGCCAAGCTCACAGCACTGCATTCAACATCTCCAGTGGTCTCTTCTCATTTCAGTCTCCTGTGATTATGTGGTTTCCTGGGAGAGCTAGTACGGCCAATAGTCAGTGCTGAGCCCGTGGAGCACACCACTGCAGTCCTTGGCAGCCCCAGCATAATTAGAGGTGTATTTATTTAAATAGAGGGATCAGAGCTAACATTTTCTCAGTAAGAAAATGGTGACCAAGGAGGGAATGGGTGTTTGCAGTTACCAGGATTTATTACTTAAAGTCAATATTGGTAAATCAACAAGAGCATATTTCTCACTCAGCGAGATCCGGGAGGGTGGAATGGCTTTTCAATGGCCTGTGCTGGCCACCTTCTTTCTGCTTTGACTTTACTTCTGCCAACCAGCCCTCCTGGCTCAGAGCATCACCCGTCAGCAGCAGCCTGCTGCAGGACTCCCCCAGCTGTCTGCAAATGCAGGGTACCTCATTTCTGAAGAGCAATTGAACAAGCACGAACAAAGTGGTGAGCCGTGTTTGAGCAAACCAAACAACTCCCATGCTGCTGGAAGCTCTGTCTGCTCTGAGTGTGGGGCCAAAGCAGGGATTTGGAAGGCTGGGGGGTCATCCTGTGGCTTGTGATCCTGCAGGGAACTCATGGGCCGCTGGGGGATCGGTGTGGCTGTGCCCTGTCACCTTGCTTTCTGCAGTGACAGTAGAGGATCTGCTCTGCAATCCTGGGGTATTTTCCAGCTGTTTAATGTCTTGCACCTTTCAGAGACCATGAGAAAGAGACTCGGGAGCAAACCGTTTTCATTACACTGTGGTCTGTGCTGTGATCGTGTGAAGTCCGGACTACAGCTGTGCCTTCAGTGCCATCATTCATTGTAGCCATCGGCTATGGAAATTACTATACAGCAGGCAAGAGGGGTTTTATGGAGCTTGACCAACCTGATCTCCCTCAGTCACCAGGTGACCAACCTGATGGATGAGGGAAATGCTGTTGACGTGGTCAGCAAAGCCTTTGACACTGTCTCCCACAGCATCCTGTTGGGGAAGCTGCCAGCCTGTGGCTAGGACAGGAACACTCTTTGCTGGGTAAAGAAATGGCTGGAGGGCTGGACCCAGAGAGTGGTGGCGAATGGAATTACATTCAGTGTCTTGTCAGCAGTGGTGTTCCCCAGGGCTGGGTGCTGGGGCCCTGTCCTGTTCAATGTCTTTAGTGATAACCTTGACGGGGACGTTCAGTGCATCAGTAAGTTTGCAGACACCAGGGAAGTATTGATCTGTCTGGGGCAGCAAGGCCCCGCAGAGGGGTGTGGATAGGCTGCTGGATTGCTGGGCTCAACCAGAGATAAGCAGAGATAAACCTCAGCAGTTTTATGGTCATGACTTATGACCAAAATCTGTAGCAAAACTTTCTTCCTCCCTGGTAGGTAGCAAAGTCTTCTTTTTCCAGTCACATACATCCAGGCCATAGCTAACTGCAAACTCATAAAATCTTGCATCATCGGTGCCAGGAAGACCCCACCAGTTGAGATACTGCTTTTAGTTGGGAGCAGCCCTCAAGAAACGTTTGTCTCCCACCCCAGAGCAAACTTTGCTCCTGCAAAACCAGCTGAGGATTTTGCTGTCAGGATTCACTGTTTTCTTTCCTGCTGCTTGCAAAAGTTAGTGGAAGGAGGGCGTCCCCTCCTCTATGTACATCTGGTACAGGTCCTTCTCCAATGCCACAAGGGATTTGTGAGGGAGGACACTATAAATAAAACACTCAGGAACACAAACAAATGATAAGAGTGGTAGAAAGATCGAACTGGACTTTGCAGCTGGTGAGATTTTGAACCAGGGTAGAGAAAATCAGTGGGACGCTGCAGACCCATGGGGATGGGCAGGAGGAAAAACCTCGGGGAGCTGACAGAGGATCCACCTGGGAGGTGCCCATGGACCACAGTGGCCAGCTTTGCACCTGAACCCAAGGAAAATCTGCAAGCAGGGAGCTCTGTTACCTGTCCGCATGCGAGAGGAAAAAAAGGTGTGGTGTGCAAGTGAAAGTGCTGATAAGGAGAGCTATATCTTTGGGTTATTATGCAATAAAATTTGCTACCTGCAGAATAACCTTCCTCACAGGCTGCCAAAGAAGCCAGCTGGAGTGAGAGCTCTGGTGTGGGTGCACAGACACTGATGTGACTCCAGGACCCCAAGGCAACCAGGATCAAATGGCTGGGCTAACTTTCTATGGGCTATCTTGCTCCCTGCAAGCCCCCTCCCACCAGCAGCTCCCCAGGCATGGCCACACAGTATGGCAGCTCTGCTACCCCATGCTTCAGCAAGGATTCCTTCCCTGTGCTCATAGAAACCCTGCCAGGCTTTCACCACTTCCCATGTGCTCAGCTTTGACAGCACAGGGACAGGACACGCATCGTTGCTTTTGTGTGCTCTTGTCAGAGGGGTGCAGTGAGATGAATGTGAAACTTCCTAGCAGCTGCTTCTCCCCAGCATCTAAAAAGCGGTGGGAAGTGGGTGAGCATAAGCCTCTGTGGGTGTGGAGGTGGATGTCAGGGTAGATTTGCTTCCCTGGGGGTTCTGAGGAGGGTTAGGGAGCTGGAGACAGCTGCCAGCTGTTGCTTGCCATGGTATGGGGCTCTGCAGACAGGAGTGTATCCAGGTCCTACAGCCCAGCTGCCTTGCGACATGGTGTGCATGCAGTGCTTGCAAGAGTGCTCTGGCACAGCTCCTGTGAGAGTACTCATCTGTGAGTTTCTCCTTTGGCACCCAGGAGATGGTTTGTTGCTGCTGGTGCTGTAAAAGCAGAGGGTCTCAGAGGGCGGAGAGAAGGCTGCAGGCTGTGCTCATGAGCACTAATTATCCCTCGTGCAAAGCCCCGGGGACCAAAGGGAGGATGGGGGTCAGTGATGTGAATGCTGTCTCTGGTGAGATGTCACATGCATTGAGATGTACAGCACAGCATCACGGATGCTGTGATCTCACCGGTTTTTCTGCTACTGGAAGCCCACACATCACCCCAAAATGAAGAGTGACCTCAGTAGCAGGCCAGCCCTGTTCTCCGGGGAGACAGCTCTCTGATGGAGGTCAGATGGTGGCCATCCCAAACCCCAAAATGTGGGAAGAAAGAGAGGGAAAAGCGTGAATACGCCGCATAGGCACCTACTTCTTTCAAGTCTTGTCCTGAAAGCTGGCTGTGGAGAAGGGAGAGCTGCACCTGTGCAGTGTGGCCTCGTGCTTTTGCCCCAGATTGAATTTTTTCTGACTAAAGTGTGCAGTTCAGCTGTCTTTCAGCCTGCTACATTCAACTATTTTCAGCCAGCCTCCATCTGCCCAACGCAGCTCAGCAAGGTCAGAATGAAGTTTTTGCTGGCAAGACAAAAACAACAGACTTCCCAGACTTGAGGAGAGCAAGCTGATAACTGGGGAAGGAAGGCAGATTATGAGAAAGGCCTTCAGGGTGCAGATAACAGCATGAGGGACTGTAGGCTTTATGATGTGCTGAAAAAAAGCCCAAGCCACTGCACAAGATGGGGTGAGATTCAGCTTTGTAAAGGGACTGATGTTTCTGCTGAACTCACTGGGGGAACGTTTAGGGAGTGAGGGTGGGCATGGGGCTCACGAGCTCACAGCATCCTCCCCCCTCCCCTCCCAAACAGCCTGGAAGCAACACAGGAAGCACAGTAGAGAGAGAGAGTCAGATTTTTATTGTTCCTGAGGAAGGAGCAACTTTAAGGCTCTCTACAAGGCCTGTCAGTATTTCTTAGCGATAAAAATTGCAAGAATATGTGTCTAGTTAAATAAAACTTTAAAATAGGCTTGATGGGTACATGTCATTATCAGATTCGTTCTTTTCCAGTGAAGTACTGAATACCTCTTGTATTTCATCAGCCAGCTTCAGCATATCCTCTTCACCTGCAAAGGACACCAGAGTGAGGTCATTGCTGCCAGGGGCTCTGCTAGCTGGGTGCATGTGATGAGAAGCACCTCCTGCTGGCCTGTGTGACCTCCAGAGGACATGCTGGTCCCCTAGGTTGTGGGTTTTAATGGGTTTAATGGCAGAGGCAAATAAATCCAACCCTTATTCTTGCCATGACAGAGTCTCAGGACTGAGGACTGGACCTGGTGCAGGACAGTAGTGGCACAAGAGCATCAGAAGCCCTGTGGTGTGCTGTAAGGACTCTTGTTGCCACCAGCCCCTGCAGGGCAGGTCTCCTGCATGCACTGTGCCTCCAGCTGCCCCTTCCCCTCCCCACCACCCTGGGACCCTGGGACCACCGTGGGACCAGTGGGCTGTGGGCAGACAATGGCTGGCACTCCCTGACCTGCTCTGGGCACAGGAGTTTGCCTCTTCTTTTCAGAGCACCCCTGCCCTGGTCTGGCTCTTGGCAGAGGAGCGGGGAGCACGGTGACCCACCATCATGGGCAACTAACCGATGTCCCACTGGCCAGCTGTGGCCCTCTGCTCACTTTCTTTAGTTTCAGAGAGAAGTGGATCCGAGGCAGACACTTGTCTGTGAACCAACTTTTGCTGCTGTATATAGTGTTTCTCTTGCTGACCTGTTCTCCCCGGGGAAGTGCATCAGGACACAGCTACATCTTCCCCGTGCGGAAAAGAATGCAGAGAAATCTATAGGACAAGAAGCTCCATATGGGACCGGGGGCCACAGAGCAGCCTACCAATGACTCTACTCACAGCAGTGGGCCTTCTACTCCTCCCCACGATTCAGAGAAAGGGATCTGTCCCTGCATCCCCAACCAGCAGTCCCCAGGATCCCATGGGGATGGCATCTTTCCAGGACTCACCCAGAGGACTCTGGCTCCCAGAAGCCAGTATCCCTTCCAGATCTGCCAGCTGCACACCAGCGAACAGGTCCTGCATATCCATCTGGGAAGACTCAGCTTGCTGCATCATCGTGGAGGACACCGGCTCAGGTTCCTCCTTCTCCGGGGGCTGAGGGTTTGGCTTTGGGTTTGGCTGCGGCGCAGGTTCCACGACGCGCTCACGGCCCTTTCCTCTCCTGGCACCTTGACCTCTCCTCTGCCGTTTTCTTCTCTCATGCTCCCTGCAGGGGGATTTCATGTAGCAAAGGGTTAGGTGCCAAGGGCAGCACGGTCCCTCCTTGCCTGGCATGTGCTCTTTGGCCGAGATACCCGTGCCAGCACTCGGGCTGCAAGTGGTACCCGGTTCACCCCTGCAGAATCTGGAATTCTCTGCGTGGGGGTTTCACACGGCCAGGCAAGGATGCAGGTTGCCAATTTTCTCCTACCAGCAACCCACCCCCTTATGGAACCCCCCACAAGCTCTCTCCTCAAGCAGCAGTGCAGCCCTTTAGCAGACGTAGCCTGAGGGTTGCCTGTGCCAGCGAGGACCACTCCTCACTGAGGGCACGGGTGCCATCATGCAGCATCTGTGCCAGAGAAAAAAAAATCACAAGGCTTAAGAAAGTTTTACCCCAGAGCCCACTGAATCGAATCCTTCTCCTCGGCTTCTGCCCTTCTCTTCCGGAGCAGCTCCCGGTCTCTCAAGCGGGGCAACATGGTGGAACCTAAAGGACAAAATCGAGTGCTAACACCACCTTTTAACCATGGGGCCATACCCCTCCCTCCTTGTCTGCTGACGGGGCGCTGATGAAAGTGGGCTGAGCCTTTTTGTCGTGAAGCAGGTCTTTAAACAATATTAAGTAAGGCTCTGTACTTACAAAGCAGCATCAGCAGGGAGGATCTGATGACATGCCACACAAATCTGTGCTGTAAATTCTTATAAATTTCCAGCTGCGGTTTTCCTCCTGCCGCTGCAGCTTTCGGGTGTCCAAATGACACACCACAGGGGCCAGCTGAAAGCACAGGTCATGGGCTGTCCTCTGGGGACACCCTGAAATCACTCAGGGTCACACATCCTTCATTAATGGCTGCAAAACATTACTGTGAGTTTGCTCCATTAATGCACTTTTCCCCGGGTAGTTGCAGTTGCCTTGTGCACTTGTTCATCCAGATGGGCTGAAAGATGGATCGAGAGTGCCATTCCTGTGCCTACTCAACTGGTCCCACCTCGGGGGGCTGAGAAAGCTGCGTGCATTTCCTCACCCTTTGCTGGTACATGATTAATGCCCGCAGTTCTCAACCCTCCATTTGTTGTTTGTTTTTTTTTTACTTTGGGCTGCAGCTTGTGGAGTCTTGAACAGGACCTGTCTTAGATCAAATAGAATGAGACCATTCCCCTGGGGGAATACAGGGGCATGTTTCTCTGCCCCTATACTGGTAGAAATACCAGTGGGAGTACCACCTGCCTGGAGCACAGAGGGAGCTTCCCACCCCAGAGCAGGAAGGGTGCACTGAGGAATTCACACAAGCACTGGTTTTCACAGTTTCAACAAATGCCACATGAGTAAAAAGCAGCCAAACAGACCTGCTCCCTGCAAGTGCAATCAGATCCAGCTTCTCCTATGAAAAGACTCAGCTCACGTTAAAGTGTTAGGTCAAATGAATGAAGAGTGGTCATTTTGGCATTGTCTTGTCCAGCTGGGAAAGCTGGCAAGGTGAGAAGGACTTTTGAGCCTAACCTGGCACTGCATCCCCTGCATCCCAGGTGTCTGAGTTAGACATGGGAAAAGTCACAGTCCGGGACAGATTTAAAAACAAAACAAAGCAGAACAAAAGAAAAGAAAAAAAAAAAAACAACCCCTAAGAGTAGTGGCCAACCCCTACCCAAATTAGATTTGTTCTTCTGACACTTAATAATAATCACGAGAAGTTTTGCTTGGAATGAATCTCTCTAGGTCTCTGTCCCAGTGTCCTCCTCACGGCAGGGCCAGTATTACCTCAGGTTAATCAGGACCTCGTCCAGAGAAGTGGGGAAAGATCTCACAGCACACCTCTGCTCTCTGTGCTGTTCTCACTATGGTCGTTTTTCTATCCTTCCTATCCAGCTGGTGCCTCCTGTTCCTCCCCCTGCCCCTGTCCTTCCCATGCCTCCTGCTATGCCGAATGTGACTGCAGCAGCACCTGCACTCACACCGCTGCATTTTGTCCAAATCTGGGCACGGTGATCCCAAAACTATCTAAAAATGACAACAGCCACCGCCACCAAACAGCCAGCCAACCGCAAAGCCAAAAGCAGCCCTACTTTCTGGTGTAGTCTGTCGTTTCTCCTGCTCTTTTTGTATGCTAGTCCCAGGATCCCTCGGTGGAGACGTGCGGGACAAAGCACATCCCCTCCCTGAAACCTTTCACCCTACCTGGACCACAGAGAAGAGAAGCAGATGAGTGCAGCGCGGATGCAAAAGACATTGCATGCACAGAGAGTGCGTGAGGATCCCTCAGCAGTGGCAGGGATGCTATTAGTGACAGGCAGCCTCTGAGATAGAACCGCAGACGGACCGCACGGCACGCAGCTGTGAATGTGAAGCAGCATTAGGGCAGCAAGGCTCTGCCAGCTGCAGAGAGCACCAGAGGCAACCGGGGGAAAATTGGAGCTCCAAGCAGCAGTCGTGGGATCTGCACACCGCTGCAGCCTGACTGCCGAAGCGCACATCCCTCACGTGTCCCTCTGTAGCAGCCAAGTTAACTTTCTTTCACTTTCAGAATGCTTTCTGAGCCATAGAAGCACTTCTCGCTGCATGCAATCTGTCTCCTCCCCAGTCCATCCTAAGCAAATTGCTCTGCACAGCCAGAAAACATCCCTCATTCGTTTCTATCTGGACCAACGGAGTGCTCCAGGGCTGCTCCAAAGCTGTGCTACCCATTGCAGTCATCAGGAAGAATCTCTCTGAGGCACCTGCATCCAGTGAGAGATTACATAGCAGAGAACACAAACATACAGAAATGAAATGAAAAATCCCTCCAGCTGAAAGTACAGTGAGAGCCTTCTGTCAGTCTGCGAAGAGACGGCGCATTGGAACTGCCTGAGAAACTTCGAGTCGAGAACTTTTTCTATATGCTTTGTAGGTGCCTCTGTGATCTGAAACACAGCTTGGAAAAAGCCACATGCATATTAAACGTGCATCCCCCATCCCCTAGCCATGCACTGGCAGCCCTTTCCTAGAAAGCATTAGTGACAAAAAAAAACCACAAAAAAAACATTCTTTTTCCAATAAAAACTAGAAGCACAGCATTACCTGGCTCAGCGTTCTTCTCCTGAGCTGTGGAGGAAGGCAGAGAAGTGTTGGAATAATCGTGGTCTCTCCCTAAACTGTCCATTGCTCTTTGCAGTCTCAAGTAAGAGGCGGCTGATTTCCTCGGGAATGTAATCTGGAGTTACTGGTGCAGCAGAATGAGAGCCTGAAAGAAATGCGGGCTGTCCTCCACAAACAACTTATCTGACTAGGCCACCAGCGGGGTAATAATATTCTCCTTATCAGTATTTAAAGGTGTATGAGTGTCTGCCCAGGACCTAGTGTGAGGACAGCAAAACATGCTGATGTTTCTGTAAAACAGTTCCGTTTCAGATAGGAAACCCGTGCTCGCTGCTGCCAAACTGTGGCTCAGATGCCCTTCTTTAGAACAAAGAGGGGCAGCGTGGCCCTGCAGGGTACTGTGTGACCTCGCTGCTTGTTTCCAGAACGAGATGCATGGAGTCATTAGGCACCCAAGGTTCTGGGACCTGGAATGGGATGTAAGCTGTCAGAAAAGTGTCTGCAGAAGTCTTTTGCAGTGCTTGTGGGAAGGGACCTCCACCCCTCACAGCAGGCTGTGAGATTTAGGAGACCCCCAGGGACAGAAGTAGCCAAATCCAGTGAATTCCAAGTGGCTCAAGCAATGGTAGTAGAACTCTACAGTGTGGCTACTCCCAAGCTCTCTGGGAATTGCTCACCTGTCAAGGCATGGGTGAACTCAACCTGCCCTGTAGCAGAACAGCTCCTGGGGGTGCCCATAGCCTTTGCTCTCACCAGTCTCTCAGTAGGTCCCTGACAACTCCAGGCCAAATTTCATGCATGGGGGGGTCTCCTAAGATAGAATCTTGGGGGGACGTGGTGATCTCTGCTGCCTTCCTGCTTATCCCCCCCAGTTACCACTTCCCCTTGGGGCTTCTCCCCTGTGTCCTTTGCAGATTATGTGGTACCTCTGGAGAGGTGGGGCAAGTTTAAAAGGTCCAAAAGAACCAGCAGGGTGGTGGCAGCCCAGCAGATATGGGAAGGCTCTGATATGCGAGGGCTGGCGGGGAGTGTGAGTGGCATCCTGAGATGGGGTGCTTCTGAGTCACTTGTGTGAGTGTCCTGTACCTCAGTCAAAAGTGAAGGCCAGGTGTGCTCTGCTGGTGAGGCTGTGTGATGCTGCACAAGCCCAGGTCACCCGGCCTCGTGCATCCTGAAATTAACATGTGTGGGAAAGAGAGGAAAGCACGCTCCTGGTTGTAGTGGACATCACATCTGGAAATGCTTGGAAAGAACTGTTCTGGGATCCCTGGGTCTGTTGGCAACTGATGTGAAATGTGGGAGAAAAGATGGGCACCTCTGGATGTTGCAGGATGCTGAGAGCTCCAGCTGCAATGCAAAACAACCAGAGCAAGCTGCCCGGGGCATGCTTTGTGTTGACACCCACACAAGGGTGCTCTTGACCGCAGAGGCACAAGGATCTGGTAGCCTTGATGCTGCAGCCCTGACTGCTTGGGCTGTGCAAAACTCAGCTTTTCACCCACATGCCTCCTGGGGAGGAGAAGCGCTCAGACACTGCAGAGCCTGCTGAGGTCTGATAAATCTCTCTTGACTCAGCAAAAAATTGTCATTGGACACACTGTTCCACCCATTTTCCAGTTAAGAATGCAATGAATTTATAAATATTGTTCATAAGCGAAAGAGCTGCTGTGCTCTCAGGGTCAGGTACTTAATGGGGTAAATGGGGTTTAACATCTTACTGAGCCTGCACTTGCATCTCTCAGGACCTAGATCCCTGTTTTGTTCTTGTGCATGAATGGCTGCAAATCCCAAGCAAGTGATCTTGTGATCCTGTGGGAAGGTTTGGTGGTGGATAACAGTGTGGAAATTACAGACCCAGTCTTGAGCTGTCTCTGCTCAGAAGTGAGAGTGGCACAGCAGAGGCCATTTCAGAGCCTGTAGTGCCCCTCCTGTCCCCTGCCAGGACTCTGCAGCAAATGTAGCCCAAGCTTTGTCCTTTCTGCTGCAGGTTGGATTTTCTGGTCAGTTTCAGATCAGTGAACCAGTGCAGCTGGATGCGTCATGCATGCCAGGCACTGCTTCCCCACATTCACATCTTGTTTCCTATGGCCCTGGGCCACCTTCACCCACACGCAGCTTCCTTGATGGGACCTGGAGGAGACTCACTAGAGTGCATTGTGAGCCTCACCTCTGTTTTCCCCCCACCCGGCGTTGCTACTGCGAGGCAGCAGCCAGAGAATGCATCTCCCTCCTACAGCCACAGACACAGCCCAGACCCAAAGTTATCCAGAAGACCAGCATGGGCAGCCATGCAGCTGTCACTCTAGCAGCAGTCAGGGCACAGCTTCCAGTTTTGTCCTGCAGAATGGTGACCTGATTTGGGGCAGGCTGGAGCTAAAAGTTCGGTCGAGCCAATCCCCGAGGTGCAGTGCACTTCAACTGCAGCTCCCCATGCTCTCTGGCAATGCAGACCAGACCCTTCCCTCTCCTACTCCATTTAAGTGCTGGAAGGGGAAAATATGCTGCTGGTTGTTCAGGAGAACCCTAGGGGAATAGGTAGGGACCTGCAGAGCTGCAGAAGCAGGGAGTGGGTGAGTGGTGCAGCAATAGAATTGCAGACCAAGCTGCGTGTAGTCGTGGCCCTCACCCCTGCAGAAGTGGAGAGGGCCCAGAGCAGAGCAGCAGAGGTGTTAAGCCCTCTGGACAGCTGTGAGCAACTAACCAGGCTGGGTGCAAAGCCCATGAAATGGCAGTGGGAAACAATGGCAGTCTGCCTCTCCAGAACTCACAACTAGGCACCGAAGGTTGGCAGTAAGGAGATGAATCTGGGCAGAGACAGTTCCTGCTTTCACAGCCACTGTTCTGTCCTTGTAATAATCACTGATAGCTGATAGGTTTTCAGACAGTAACAAGGCAGGGGACAGGAAAAATTTCTAATGACAACAGCTGCCTCCAGACAAAACAATGATTGCAGTGCCAAGGCTCTGTCCCTGCCCAATTATGCTTTGTTGCATCCTCCTGCACTTCCAAAGTGTTTGCTCTTGCTCACTGCCCTTTGTCTTGGTTCTGGAGACCCCAAGTCAAAAGGATTGACCAAGTATGATTGTTTTATACTTCTCATTATTATTTTCAGTGGTAGCATTAAATTTATCACCAACAGCTGTGGTTCTGGATGTGGGAGATGAACCATGTAACCAACCAGGCAGGTACAGTGGCCATAACACTGGCATAGGTCCCAGGCTGACAGTGTGGTCACTGACTTCAGGGAGCTCACTTGACTTTATGATGCAATTGGACCCTTTCCCCAGTTACTACAAATGAGTCATGTGAGTACAGCAACAAGACAGAGCAGCCTGATGCCTTGTGGGTGAGCACAGGTTTCACTTAACAGCGGAGCACTTCTCCAAGCAACATGAAGCTTGCTCAAGCTGTACAACTTGGGTGCATATATTCCATTAGAAGAGGAGTGGCCAGGAGGGATAGAGAAGTGATTGTCCCCCTCTACTCTGCTCTTGTGAGGCCCCATCTGCAGTACTGTGTCCAGGTCTGGAGCTCCCAGTACAAGAAAGACAGGGAGCTGCTGGAAGGAGAGTCACAGAGATGATCAGGGGGCTGCAGCACCTCCCCTATGAGGACAGGCTGAGGGAGCTGGGCTTGTTCAGCCTGGAGAAAAGAAGGCTGTGGGGTGACCTCACTGCAGCCTTTCACTACCTAAAGGGACCCCACAAACAGGAGGGGAATCAGCTCTTGAAAAGGGTAGATAACAGCAGGACAAGGGGAAATGGTTTGAAGTTGAGGGAGGGAAGATTGATCATCCCTGAGGCCCCTTCCAACCCTGGCCACTCTGTGATTCTGTGATATTTAGTGAAAGGTGATTGACATCCCAGCTGCTGTGGGAAAGAAAGAGCAAAAAAAAAAAAGATCAGGGGGAGCCCACTGACAGCTGATGAATGCTGACCATTAGCCAGCTTGGACCAAACCCCACCGTAGCACCAAGAGTTGCCCTAGCACAAGGAGCAACCTAGGCATGATGCTGAGCAACTGGAAGGCAAGTTCTGTTCCCCGAGAGCACATAGGGAGATCAGGTCTGTTTTGAGAAGACCCCCCCCCTAGAGATGCAGGCTCTCTGGAATTCAGGATCTCCAGTCTGCTCTTCTAGTGCTCCTGTGGGTTATCTGGGCTGACTTCTTTATGGAGCAGTCTCACGTGAAAAGCTAAATGATACAAGGAGTGTGGATGTTGCTGTTTTCCACGAGCACCAGCTCTGGATGTGAAGGTGGTTTCTAGGGAGCTGGAGAGAAGGTCATCACCTCCCACGCTGGAGAAACCGTACCTTTGCTAAATTGCCTCCTTCAGAAAAGCTGTGTTTGTACAGCATCTCCTTCACCAGGATCTCAGTTATGTGTGTTTCTTACTGCTCCCACATTTCTCCCAGGAACACGGGAGAAATGTACAGTGCACGATGTGTTTGGAGCCTAGTTTGTGATGCAGGTTGGAAATGAATGTTTTGACTGCAGTCTTTTAGTACTTCTTCATGGAAACTGGTTTGTGCTGTTTTCCCTCGGCCTGGCACAAAATAATGCTGTTGAAATAAGATTGAGTATGCAATTTTATTATTTACTGTCACTGACTGAAATGTCTGATACACGCAGAGCAAACAGCATCAGTTAATCACCTATTTGCAAGCTCAGAAAAGTCACCAGAAGGCTCAGACATCTTGACACTCCCCATCATTCAAAATCTGGATATCTTGCCTGGTTTTCCTAGGATAAGGTGGAAAAACAGAGTAAAGAAGTAGGAAAAAAAAAAAAAAAGTGTTCCCTGACTCACTCTTGGCCTCATCTGGCCCGTGGAATGGAGCTGCTGACCTTTCTAAAACTGTTTGCTCATTGTCCCATTGCAAAGAGGTGAGATGCTGCAAGGCACGTTGGCCTGCAAACGTCTCTTCCCTGTGTATGGTACAGGTCCCACCATTGCTAGAGACAATTTCATCCCAGCTGGTTTGCAGTGTGGACACTGAAGCTTTGCCCAAGCCTCTCCACCCTCCTCCCCCAGGGATGAAGATCCCTCCCTCCCTGGTTCACCACCCTGCAGGAAAAAGAAGGGTTGTCCCCTGTGTCTCATCTGAACCCTTCTGGGACTTTGTGGCCGTTGCCCTGTTGATACAACAGCTGGCAACAGCTGGCAACAGCAGCAACGTGACTCCATCCGTTCCCTTTGTGGCCATAGGCTGCAACTGGATCCCCTCAGCCTCTCACTCCAAAAGCCACCAGAGTTTGGACATAGCTCCTCCACAGCTCCTCACAGGTCCAGGCCTGCAGCTATTTGAGGACCCTCTGCAGTTTTCCCAGGTCCCAGGAGATAGATATCCCAATGGCATGCAGCAGCCCCAGTGCCCAGCACCCTGCAGAGGTGTCAGCAATCTTCCCGTGCAATCTGCTTGTCCTTCCCTACAGCCTGTGTTCTTTGAAATGCAAGCACCTGTTGACCTGCATTCACCCTGATCTTCGCTCAGCTCATCACTTCCCAGCCTGCACAGAATTACAGGGTGGTCCTGTCCCAAAGCAATGCTTTTCCCTTCTGAACATCGTGATATCCCTGTTGCCCTACTCCTCAAAATTATGGTGGTGAAGCTCTGCCAAAGGAACCATGATGTGCATAACTGGGCATCTGCACTCACAGAGCTCTCCTGGGAGGATTTACTGGTGCTATTTGCTGGTCCAGACTAGCCACCTTTCTAAACTGCATCCAAAATCTCCTTTCTCTGGCTTGAGAAAAACATGGGCATGTTAGAGTGGGTCCAGAGGAGGGCTACAGTTATGATCAGAGGGCTGGAGTACATATCTTATGAAGATACACTGGAAGAACTGGGCTTGTTCAGCCTGCATAAGGCTCTGGAAGACTTAACAGTGGTCTTCCAGTACATAAAAAAGGCCTGTAGGAAAGATGGAGAGAGACTTCATCGGGGACTATTGTGACCAAGATGAAGGGTGAAGGTTTTAAAACTATAGGGAGATTTAGGTTAGATGTTAGGAAATAATTTTTCACTCAGAGGGTGGTGAGGCACTGGAACAGCTGTGCAGAATAGCTGTGGATGCCCCATGCCTCGAGGTATTTAACACCAGGGGCTTTGAGCAACCTTGTCTATGTGCAGGCATCCTTGGCCTAGGCAGGTGGTTGGAACTGGATGATCTTTAAGGTCCCTACCAACCCAAACCACTCTACGGTTCTGTGACTATTCATTCACAAGCAGTACAGAATGGGGACATTCTCTCATTCTCTGCAGAGCACCTGGTTTGTTGCCAGTTTTTTCTGATGTTGGAAGGTCGTCTGGCTTTTGACCCCACATTTTGGGCCTGCCACCCTCCAGTTCACGATCCAGCAAGTTGTTCCAATGGATAAAAACTGCTCTCTCCTGTGGGATCTGTACTCTGCCAACACAGTGAGTGAGTACTAAGTTTGCAGCTGCACTGTCCCTAAACATAGTGCCAAGGATGGGGCTGGCACCTGCAAGGGCTAGGGGCATTCCCATGCCTGTTCTTGGGCACTGCCATCACGGGGAGGTGAAGCTGAGGGCTGCAGAGCCAGGTTCAGGGGATGCCAGAAGCCTTCTTCCACCTCGCAGTTAGGATTTTGTGTCCTTCCCGTGGGCTGTGGTTTTCCCACGGTGTTTGACAAGCACCTGCATTTAGACAGCTAAAATTAGACCCCTGGAGGCCAGTGCCCAGGTGTGAGCTTACATTTTCTGCACACAGAGCAAGCACTCATTGGCATAGGTGTTCCCATCACTCCCACAGACAGGCAAGTGCAGCAGGGGGCAGGCCTGCAGCTCAGCCATCTCTCCACACGTCGGCTGGAAAGGAGAAACCACAGTGAATGCATGAGTGCAGGCAGCTCCCACTCCTCCTCCTATGGCGCTAGGGCAGCAGCAAGCGTGGCTAGAGCTGACTGCACAGCAGCTCTGGGGATCCCAATGCCCCTTAGGGCATCGTGCCTCGAGGTGGGACTCACTGCCCAGGTTTGGGCTGAGACTGCTGAGACCCACAAAGCTGGGGCAGTTTCTAGGAACAGCCTTTCTCCCAGTCGTGCTAGCCATTGAGGCAGCCCAATAGGATCTGAAGCCACTAACAAGAGCAAATGGAAATCTCTTACCCTTCTCAGGCCGTTCCCCTCTTCCAGCTCTGCCCCTGAAACAGAGCAGACATACAGGAGTTCAGCAGGGGGGGAGATTAAGTGACAACCGTGACCAGCCTTTCCAGAGAGAGCTGGTGGCAGGAGCATGAGGTAGTGACAAAGGTGGGAATGCCTGTACCTGTCTCTGAGCCCCTTCCCATAGCCCTCTGTCCTGGACTCTGAACCAGGAGCTCCACTGAGCATCAAATGCATCACTGGCACATCCCAAAAAGTGTGGGGTGTGTGCGCTCCTGTCCTCCTCTGCACCCCACCATGCTGCTGCTGTGCTGCCTTGCCTCCCTCATCTCTTCTCCATAACAGAGATCCTGTGTCTTTCTGCCCTCCTTTGCACTCTCAGTTCCTCCACACCTCCCAGCCCACCACCGCAGAGCAGACTTACCACCAGCAGAAACAAAAGCTACCAGCATCAGTGCCAACACCAGCAGCTCCTTTGTGGCCATGGTTGGCATGGGTGCTTGCACTCGTGCACCTCGCTCCGCACACAGCAACCTTTATAGCAGAGGGCAGCAGCTAATCTTGGCGCTGGGAAAAGCAGCATTTTGAGCAATTTGACCTGCGCTGGGAACAGACAGACCGTGCACGAGAGGTGAATGACAGCCTGCCAGCTCCAGGTGCAGGCACTAGAGGCTGCTATAAAATCCCTTTGATCCACCGTGCAGGCAGAGTAATGCTGCTCTGCTCTCCTCTCCAAACCAGCCAACCTCCCACTGTGCACATTACCCCCAGGACGACCCTCCAGCTTCATAGCTGCCATTCCTCATTTTCTGGTGACAGTGACAGAACACGAGGGAACAGCACAGAACTGCATCAGAAGAGGTCAGGTGGGGGTGAGGAAAAGGCTGTGCCCTAAAGGGCAGCGCTGCTGGGGCTCAAGGAGAGTTTGGGCAATGCTCTCAGGCGCAGGGTTTGGATTTGGGGTGGTCCTGTGTTGAGCCAGGAGTTGGACTCCATGATCCTTGCAGGTCTCTTACAAACTTGGGATATTCTATGGTTCTGTGATTCCTACACCACGTGGATCTCCATTTAGACTGGGATACTTCGTGTACAAAATGCAAAAGTTTGGGGCTGATCTGGGAGGCTGTGGCACTGAGGGACTTTTCAGCAAGGACGTCCATTCCAGAAGACCTTGCTTTTTCATCTATAAGAAAGATGTCCAACATCAGTCTTTCCATGTGAGCATCCTTGCTGCCTCTGAGAAAACAATTTACCTCATCCACCAAAACTTTCCTTGATGGAATCAAGATTAAAGGCTGAAGGCTGAAGGATGGAAAAGAGAATCGCTGGACAGAAAGTCAGCATCCTATCTGAAAAGTAGTTTTGACTAGAAAGTTTTGACTGTCCTTTGGGACAGATACGGCAAGATTAAGTCTGGGTCAGAAGAGAGAGGGCGTCTCCTCCTCTCTGGTAGTGGATAGGAGGAACTCTTTGTGCAAAGGGCCAGTGTCCTACAGAAACTGCCTGGAAGATCTGCAGACACGTGCAGCATACACGTGGGCACTCGCTGAAGAGACAGACACATCACATTCAGGAGCTTTCTTCCCCACAGTCTTACCTGAGTCTTAGCATGGTTCTTGCTGGCCCTGGACAGCAGAGGTGAGCAGGAGTGGCTCAGCAAGCATCCCTCGTGGTCAGACAGGCATGGCTCAGCATGGACTGGCAGGAACTTTGGGATTCCCCTTTCAGAACCCGCCTCTGCTCTGTTTAGGTGGTTGTGCACATGGATTACAACAGGGAATGTAAATGTTCAGTAACATTTGATGCTTATTATTATTCTGTTTTGAAAATCCTACAGGTAAAGTAAATATTTAACTGCACTAGCAGTCGTTCCCAAGGTACAGGAGTGATAGTGGGGTGGCATAGTCTGGTAAAGGGAGATCTGCCAGCAGCCTACAACTAAGGGAAGGAGTCTTAACTAAGTTGTGGAACCAAGGTCCTCTTGGATGCTGCAGGTGGCACAGTGAAAGCCACAGGCACAAAGCTCACACTGGGTATCAGGAACCAGCCTTCCCCAGGAGGGTGAGCAACCTGACCAGCAGGAAGGTGGGGAATCTCCATCCTTGATGGGTCATGCACAAAGCAATGGGCACTGTGACAAGCAGTGGAGACAGCCCTGATGTATGCAAGGCTGCACAGCAAGGCCCCAGGCCATCCTTCCACCAGCACAGATGGGTCTCATGAAGCCAGAAGCTCTCACATTCTGCCACACGATGATTAATCTCCTCACACCCTGGCTGGGCAACCTGTTTGCAACCAGCACTCAACCAGAGGACGACTCAGTGTCCTATGAGCTGCTCCCATCCAGCAAAGCCTTGCACGGGAGATGTCAGGGGCCTTCATGGTCTTCTCCAAGGTATTTACTGTCAAAAAAAAAAAAAAACAAAAACACAAAAAAAAACCTGCTAGACTTTGACCCCAAGGCCTCTGTCAACTTCCTTACCTGTGCACTGCATTGCCTGTCCCAAGCTTGGCTGGGTTCCTGGAGTTGCACCACGAGCAGTGCAGGAACTGTGCAGCTCAGATGCGCTGCTTCCTCTGCCTCACCCTCCTGATGGAATAGGCATCCACAGCCCTTCTGTGCCAGCAGCAGCAGGTTCTGCAGCACTGTCGGCCAACGTGAGGCTTGGTCTTTCACCACCCAGTTTCTCAGCCATGTTCAGATGCTGTGAGCTAAAATGACACCTAGAGGTGCGACAAAGGGGAAACCACATTCACAGGCTCTCAGAGGAAACCACCTCTCGGAGGCCTCTCACGCCTCTTTCAGTTTTGCTTTCAAGTGCAGGCTTGAAGCCTCTTGACAAAAGTCCCAGCAACCATCTCCTCGAGTGAAAGAGGGGAAGTCCTTCCTTTAGGTGGCCAGGACGTTCCCATTGCTTGCATGCCCCAGCACTGGCTACACAGCTCCATCTACAGAGACAATCGTGCATTTAAGCCTCCTCCTCCTCCACGTTGCAGGTATTTCGGTGGAATCCCTTACTGCTGTCCCCAGCTTTGTCCCAGCACATCAGTCATGGTCCTGTGACTCATATCACACTTGCACTTCCTGGGGGAACCACAGCACAGCTTGCAGATCTTTGATCTTGTGGGGAATGGGTGACTGAGCCATACTGCACCGTGTCACTCTTGCTCCACTTCTGCACGGTGGCCTTATCAGCAGCGTGGCCTTGATGCTGTCACCAGTGTTGTCACCGCTCTGCCCAGCACCTGCCAGTTCCTTTCTGTCATCTGTTGCCTTCATACTTGCTCTCACATTCTGCTCTGCCTCACTCACAGGATTTTAAATCCTGTCCTGTTGCTCCCCCTGGTGCTTCTGCAAACTTACCCCGAGCAAATGCTGGGGACCCACCAGCACCAAAGTGTCAGCCTGGGGACTGAGGGCTGCCCTGTTCCTGCAAACCACGTGGGGGGACACAGCACATGACCCCATCACACCAAAAAGAAAGTTAGAAAGGAAAAAAAGAGCACTTCGTCTTCACCTTCACAATCACCTTCATCTTTAGGATTCCCACAGGAGCCTGGCCATGCACTGGACCTCAGAGGCACAGGAGCCAGGAAGAGGCAGGCTGGGGACAGCATCCACTGCTGAACCTTTTCCTCTGCTTTGACTGCTCACCAGAATCACCACAGCTGCTCAGAAGAGGCTGAGGCTCACACACAAGCTGCTCTTGGCCCTGCTTCGCTGTGGCAAGGAATAACTGGCCAAGGAGGCCAGATTTGCCCAGGGGATTTACAGCTTTCCTGCAGTTCCTCAGCAGCTTAGAGGTGATGCTGACCTTCCTTTTTCCCATGGTCCCACATGAGGGATGTATGTCCAAATCCTTGGGTATGTACTCACAAACACCCAGGGGCAGCCACCTCGCGTGGCATCAGACAGAAGAGCACTGTCACCACAGTGAAAGCCATTCTGTTTCTCCCAGTCTTTCCTGCAGCTTTTGGTTTCTGTTCCTCTTTAAAGGTGCAGAGTAAACTTTGTTGTTTGCAGTCAGTTACGTCGAGACAGCAACATTCTCAGTTGATTCCTGTCTTTCTTTCTTTCTTTCTTTTTTTTTTTTTATTACTTATTTTATTATTACTTATTTTATTATTTTTTTATTACTTATTTATTATTTTATTATTAGTCTTTACACTACGAACATCTCCATCCATACTAATGGATGTACAGTACTGTAAGCACTGCAAACAGCTTATTTTTGAGGATCCAGATGCTAATGCAACATTTCCTCTTTGTGAAAACTGCTTGGCAAAATGAAGTCAACAGTAGCACCAAGCCACATCCCATATTATGCTCTAGAAAATGAGCCACTCAATGGCTTGGTCAAGCCCTGGCACCTCTGGACAATGCTCTCTGCTCTCTGCCACAGGAGCTAATGTAGTGGGTAAACAAGAAGCACACTAATGAAAATGACAAGTATCCTTGTAGTGAATTTATATTCAGACTGCTGTAACATGCAATTGGAGCTGTATGCTGTAGGAAATACTACAGCAGCAGCCAACCAGAACAGAAGATAAGCCTGACGAGGAGCTGTGCAACTGCAACAGTGACCCAACCTGGGCTGGATTTGCAGCCAGGCTTTCATGTTAAACGTATTTTGGTTGCACCAGACTCAGTCATGGTGCCTAATTCTACAGACATCCCAGACAAAGGAACCATCCAGCTTAATAATGCAGGAGACTGCAATTTATGAATGATGAGTGATAAGACAAGCCCTGATCTGACTCTTCTGGACTTCCAGCAAAAGGCAGCTGGATGTTGCTTTTTACACCTCTGCACCTTGTCCCTTTGCTGTCTGCCTGCCTTGCCTGACGCCCATCCCTCAGCTCAGCTCAACTCTTCCCAGCCTCCTTCAGCCCTGCAGCAGAGCAGCTCTGCAGCCCACACAGCCGCAGCCATGAGGAGTGGGGTCACAGCAGCAGGGCTCCATGCTGCTGTCCTAGAGGTGCACCCAGACATGCTCTGCCCTGCCCCTGTCCAGCCCTGGGGAAACATAGGAGCACACGGGAAGGTGCCAGTGTTTTAAATTCAACCATCAGCCTGGCCTACTGAATCCCATCACTAAACTGCCTGTAATCGCCCTCTCTGGTCCCTGTCCTCCTCCTCCTTCTCCTCATAATTTGCTGCCTGCCTGCAAAACTCCATCTTTCACTCAGTGGCATCCTTAGGCTTGCTTCAGCACTCATTTACGACACCATCCAACTGCCAACTTTGATTAAAATCAAACTCAGAAGTCATAAGGCGTGGTGGACTTGCAGATGTGCTCATGTGCAGCACGACAGTGTAGCCACACAGCAGTTATTTGTAAAGAGAAATAAAGCTAAAAATTACCTTCACCAGAAAAGAGCATCACCGCTCCAGCGAGGCTGGGGAACCAGGAGCTGATTTGGTGATGTGGCAAAGTGAGAGCTCTGAGGACTTTTATTAGGCTGTGCTGGGGTAGAAGCAGCCAAGGAGCACCTAAGGGTGTGTATGCATACACACGTTTTTCCTGTAAAGAATGCATTTCTGTTTCCTTATTCTCTGTTTTCTAGGGCACCTTATCTCTGTGCTAAAAAAGAAGGTGTGCCATTACGTACTTACCTGTAAATACTCATATTTACTCATATGCTCATGAGGACACACCTGCGTCTATGCATAATAGAAATTATCTCAGGCTGTTACAGAGTACTTCCACATTTTTAACCATTGCCCTGTTCCAAAGCCATGTTCAGCAAGGGCAAGACAGTCGTCTTGAGGAAAAGATAGCAGTGGTATAGGCTGCTGCAGCACAAATACGTGGAATTACATGTTAGACACTTCCTTTCTTTGTGACATTAGTACCCAGCAGCATGCTGTGCCTTCTTTTCCTTCGCTTGCTAAGCTTAAGGCATGACATATTTAAAGCACTATGGGAAATCAAACCAGCTCTGCCTTGAATCACAGCTGAGGTCTGTCATTGCACCCCAGGAAGGCTCCCTACAAGTACCAACGTCAGATAGGAAAGAAACGAAAGACAGATTTTACTAGCAGGCATCTGGTATTTCCTGATAGCAGTGGAGTGCGGAAACTCTAGACTGACCTGCAAGTGCTGAAAAAATGGTTTCTCTGCTCGTTTATGTTGCCAGGGCTGCCTTCTGCTGATCAATCCATAAGAGATGTCCAGAGGGCCTGCAGGCTTTGAAAGTATGGCTTGCTCATTTGAGAAAGCTCTTAGTTGAATGATGGCTGAGAACATCAGCAGTGACAGCACTAGTGTCTTAGGCAGCTGCCTCATCATCTTGGTGCTGACAACACCAGGTTCAACCAAACCATATGGTAATTATCGGGCTGGCTTCCAGAAGGTATCAGAAAGAAATGTGTAAGAGAAAAGAAAATAGGAGGCAGGAGCCTGTGATAATGCACCTTGATTGCTTCTTCTTGAGCCTCCTGTAGCACAAGTGCAGAGGCACTTTCAAGCTGTGACTGGGAGCAACTCGGGAAGAGCAAGGAGACAGAATCACAGAATCACAGAACGGCCATGGCTGGAAGGGACCTCAAGAATCATGAATCTCCAACCCTCCTGCCACATGCAGGGCCACCAACCTCCACATTTAATGCTAGACCAGGCTGCCCAGGGCCCCATCCAACCTGGCCTTGAACACCTCCAGGGATGGACGGGGCATCCACAGCCTCTCTGGGCAGCTGTTCCAGCACCTCACCACTCTCTCCGTAAAGAATTTCCCCCTGACATCCAACCTAAATCTTCCCTCCCTCAACTTCAAACCATTTCCCCTTGTCCTGCTGTTATCTGCCCTTTCCAAGAGTTGATTCCCCTCCTGTTTGTAGGCTCCCTTTAGGTACTGAAGGCTGCAATGAGGTCACCCCGCAGCCTTCTCTTCTCCAGGCTGAACAAGTGCAGCTCCCTCAGCCTGTCCTCATAGGGGAGGTGCTCCAGTCCCCTGATCATCTTCGTGGCCCTCCTCTGGACCCTCTCCAACAGCTCCCTGTCTTTCTTGTACTGGGGGCTCCAGACTCGGACACAGTACTGCAGATGGGGCCTCACAAGAGCAGAGCAGAGAGGGACAATCACCTCTCTGTCCCTGCTGGCCACCCCTCTGCTGATGGAGCCCAGGATCTCATTTGCCTTCTGAGCCGCAAGGGCACACTGCTGGCTCATGTTCAATTTTTCATCTACCAAGACCCCCAGGTCCTTCTCCACAGGGCTGCTCTCAAGGACCTCTCCTTCCAGTCTGTAGGGATGCTTGGGATTCCTCCGGCCCAAGTGCAAAACTCTGCACTTTGCCGTGTTGAACCTCATCAGGTTCACCCGGGCCCACCTTTCCAGCCTCTTGAATGGCATCCCGTCCTTCAACCGTGTCAACCACACCACTCAGCTTGGTGTCGTCAGCAAATTGCTGAGGGTGCACTCGATTCCGTCATCGCTGTCATTGATAAAGATGTTAAAGAGCACCGGTCCCAAGACAGACCCCTGGGGGACGCCGCTCGTTACCGGCCTCCACCTGGACATGGAGCCATTGATGACCACCCTCTGTCTGCGGCCTTTCAACCAGTTTCTTATCCATCAAGTGGTCCACCCATCAAATCCACATCCCTCCAATTTGGAGATAAGGATGTGGTGGGGGACCATGTCAAAGGCCTGATGCATAGTACTGAGCTCCTTGTCGTGCCAGATAAACAAAACTCCTCTGTCCCAAACAGGATGGACTGTACAGATTCAAGACTGCTCCCCGGGAAGGCACACTATTTCATGTTTTAAAGTGAGTCCACAATGACTCACTGACGGCAGCATGCATTCTCTTCCTATTTCGCCTCTGTCAGCACAGCATCACTGAGATCACGTCCTGCTGCTTTTCATAGAATCACTGAATCACAGAGGTTGGAAAAGACCGCTACGATCAGCCAGTCCAGCTCCAACCCACCTCATCGCGCGCACGGTTTATGTCCCTCAGTGCCACATCTCCGCGGGACTTGAAAGCAGCGTGGTGACCGCACCACGTCCCCGGGCAGCCCGCGCCAACGCATCGCCGTTCGTGACATCCAACCTGAACGTCCCCCGGTGCAACCTGAGCCCTCTCCCCCTATAACCACCGCTGTTACCCGGGAGAAGACACGCTGTCCCGCCGGGGACAGCGGGACCACGGCGCGGGACCGGCGCCCGCCGGCCAACACCGCCCCCCGCGGGTCGCGGGGATGCGCGGAGGCAAAGACTGCGGGCGGGACGCGGGGCCCGGAGCCGCCCCCAGCGGGCGGAGCCATCGCCGCCCCCGCCCCGACCCCATCCCGTCCCCGGCGGCGGCGCGGGGCGCGCGGCGGTCCCCGTCACCGCGGCGGCATGAAGGAGCCGGCGCTGCCCGGCACCTCGCTGCAGCGGGCCTGCCGCCTCCTCGTCGCCTTCTGCGCGCTGCACCTCTCGGCCACGCTGCTCTACTACCTGGTGGGCAGCTCCCTGACTCCGCCGCGCAGCCCCGAGCCGCCGCCGCGCCGCCCGCCGCCCGCCAACCTCTCGCTGCCGCCCTCCCGTCCGCCGCCGTCCGCCGCCCGGCCCCGACCCCGGCCCGTCTCGGCGCAGCCCAACACCCGCCCGGATTCGGCGCCGCCTGGTCTGTGCCCCGACCCATCCCCGCTGCTCGGTGAGTGCCGCCCCCCGCCCCTCCGCGAGCCGTGACAGCGCAGCCCGGGAGCCTCTCGAGGACGCGGCCCCTACGGCTCGAGAGCGCGCCGGACGGGCGGACGGGTGGGGGCTGCCCCGGGCGCGGCACCGCTTCCTGCGCCCGACCCCCCCCCGGGTTCTGCTGCGCCGCCGCTGCGTTGCGCATCCTCCGCTTTCCCCGAGGCTCCGCCGCGCGCAGCGCTCGGTTCTCGGAGGGAGCGGAGGGGCTGCGCGTGGGGCGGGGGGTCCGAGCGGCGCTTCCCCGCGCGGTGGGACCCGCGGTGCGGCGTTCCGATACGTGGCGTCCCGCCGCTTGTGCCTCTGCACATGGAGGGGTGGGCAGCGCCGCGCCCCGCCGAGCGCTTATGGGATCGCAGCGGGTAGAAGAGACTTTCGAGAAGTTCCCTGTGGTTTTCTGTTAGCGAAACCGTCGCTGAAATTCGGAGTTTCACTCGGTGCTCGCTGGTCAGCTGCATCGATGCATCTGAATAGCAAATGACGGGGTTGTTTCGGGAAGGCGGTTTTGAGGTCGTTAAAAGGGACTGTGTTGTTGTTAGTTTTTGGTGGTTTTTTTTTTTTTTTTCTTTTTCTTTTTCCTGCTGATTTTGATTCGTGTCTTTCACTTTTCCCCTTCAATCGCTTTGTGCTGAGAGTGGCCATGCAGTCAGGCCGCACACGGGGGTGTGCTGCCCCTTCGAAGCGATTTGATCTGAACGATCCTCACTCGCCCTGATCCTCCCAGTGCTGGGAGCTGGGAGAATTGCTGTCCCCAGGACTCAGACCATTGTCTGATCGGTGTCTGGATGGTCAGCTGAATGCACAGGGTCACTGTTCCCATACCTGTTCCAGAAATGTGGAGGTGTGGCTCTGAGGGACATAGTGGGCATGGTGCTGATGGGTCAGTGGTTACACTATTGTGATAGAACGATTCTGTGATCCTACACCATCTCTGTGTTCCTTTCAGTGCAACACATGCATCATGCAAGAGGCCTGCTAAGGCTGTGGGCAGTGTTTGTTTGCAGTTGTTCAGAGCTGTAGGGTCCTTGTAGTGCAGGATCCAATGGTTTCCAGCAGCCCCAGTTCCAGGGGTGTGCTCAGGTGTAGGCATGACACCCATGTGGCTCTCGGGTCTGCAGCCAGCATGTTACTGAGGAACCCAACTGCTCTGCAGTATTGCATTTATGATTGCTTCTTTCATGTTCTGGTTCTGGCAGCAAATCACGTTTGTAAAACTGCCCTGCTGTGCCTCATATTGGTCGGAGTTCTGTGTTCTGATAATCTGCTCCGTCTCTTTGATCAGCATGGCACTGAATGGTGTCCTGTCCACAGGCATTTCTCATCTTCTTGGCATCCCCAGCTTCCCAAAGCCGTAGTGCACTGCTCTGACGTGAGCTGGTGGCTTTGTGGCCTCATTCCTCCAGCACCACCTTCTTGGATTTCCTCTTCTTTCTCTTCTCTCCTTCACTGGACAACATGTGATGAATCATGCAGGGTAAGTGTGACCGAGCTGCTCGGCCTTTCTGAGCAGCCAGAGACACACTGCTGCCAGTGGCCTGGGGGCTTCTCTCTGATGATGCTCAGGATGAGAACCCAACAGTCCCTGCTGTCTGGCCACCGGGCAAACGCATGACCTGAATGAAGTGTAATCTCTGAGAGAGCCTGCTGAATTTGATACGCCTTTATGGTTCACTTCCCATTATTTGTAACTTGAAAGCATAAACCAGGGCTGGGAAAGTAATGCTGTAAGTCAAATTTGGATTAGACGTTCCCAAAGTGTTTTGGATTTATGCTGCAGCTGAGAGCTGCCTGTGAGAAGCCGAAAGGCAAAAGGAAATCCGTCTCTGTTCTGGAGGTGATTGTTCCCCCAAACTGGTGTGTTCTTCATCAGAGTGTTCTTTATCCAGAATAACATTATTTCAAAAAGAATATAAATGCTGTTCAGTAGGACTAGTCTGTGTGGGCTGACATGCCTTCAAAAAAAGCTAAATGATTTCTTGTCTTACCTTGAGGCCTTTGTTTCAGTGCTGGTGCTGTTGTCATGTAGGATGGAGCGAGGAAGGGGCCAGCTGCTTTGTCACCTCGCAGAAGAGCTCATCCAGAAGCAGCGCTTGCTTATCTTTTGGTGCCAGATGCCTGCAGAGCAGGCTCTCGCAGGCAGGCCTCTTGGTGTCTCAGGGATGTCGTTTTCAAGTCCTGCCTGGCCCAGAGCACGTGTTGTTTACAGAGCTGTTTTTTGCCTCCAGCTGTCACCTGGGCCCTTTCTGACCACAATTAGATACCAGGTGTGGTTGGCAGAGGGGTGGCAGGGAAAGAGGTGTCACTTGCAGCCCTGGGAGCAGAGACAACCCAGGAGCCCCGAGCGTGCCGTGCCGTAGAGCAACGTCTTGCTCCATGGCTTTCTGCCCCTGATGTAAGTTTAGAAGACACGACAGCACCACGCGGAAGCAATTATGCAGTATTGACGACAGAGAGACAGAAATTCCAGCTGTTGCAGTCAGCATTCTGGGCAAAAATAAGGGTGCTTCCCACCATCAGCAGGGCACCTCTGTGAGCAGCAGGGCCAGGGGGAAGGAGCGTGGGAGCAGCTGCTGGCCCTGGGAGCAGCCGGATTGCAGCACAGCCTGCTGCTGCAAGCGGTGCGTCAGCCCTGTGTCTGTGGGTGATGCAGATAGAGGATGCCAGCAGAACCCCTTCCACAGCTGAGTGTGGAAGCCTGTGGGTGGATATTCTGCATCTCCAGGTGCCGGCAGTGCCAGTTGCCACGCAGCAAGCCTGGCTAGGCTCCATCCGGCATGCACTGATGCCTGGCTCCCACCAGCTGGGGCAACAGAGGCAGCCAGGGAAGCTCCGTGTGGAGCAGGGCTGTGCCTCTGAGCCAGCATGGAGCAGTTGGATGTCCTTAGCCTGGTGTCGCTTTGGGGAATGGTTTGGATTGTTTCTTAGGCTGGAAAGGTCTTGGGAGGGTGGTCCTCCTCATTCTGGGGACGTGGCACAGCAACTGGGGTGCGCAGGCGAGGTGAGGAGACTTTCCATTTTGTGCATCCTGTGTTTTGTAACGTGCTCATTTCCCTGCCAGCACAGATCTGGGGCAAGAGTAAGTTTTCTTGGAAACAGGGCCAAGTTATGCTTGGAAAGAGGCAGAGACTTGCAGCTTCCCAAGCTACATTTGGATCAAGCTCGCCTGAGTCCTCAGTTCCTGGCCCAGCCTGGAGCTCCAAGGCTTTGTGGGTTGGAGGGGCTTTGTGGTCCTCTAGGCAGCCACCTCCTCCTCAGTGCAGAGAGAAGTGGCCGCTGGAGCTGCAGCAACTTTTCCAGCTGCCTCCCAGCAATGCTTGTTCTCCAGAGCTCATGGCAGCCCCAGGCCCTGCAGCTGTCTGCTCCTCTCATCTCACCTTGCCCTGCCAGCCAGCCTGCCTTCCTCCCTCCTTGGGGCTCCAGATGCAGCCAGGCTGAAGGGCGCAGGGCAGGGCTACAGGGCTGGGACAGGAGCTGCTGCTGGCCCCATCTGTCAGGGAGGTCTCTGGTCCGTCTGTCTGTGCTCATGCGTCTTGCATCAGGGTGGGGTTTTCCTGGCAGAGGCAGATCAGTTTTTTTTTTTTTCCTGATTGAGGCAGCCGGGGAAGTCTCTCTGCTTGTTTGTTTAGAGTTTGCAGTTCAAGGGTCTGGAATTTAATTTTGCAGTGGCAGCCCGCAGCGAGTGCCAGTGCGAGTGAGGCCGATCGCGTGCGGGCTGCCCTGCTCAGGGGAGGGGTGCACAGCCACTGCACGGAGTGTGTGCTGGGTTGTGGCCATCGCTGAGGACTTTGCTTCTCTTCCCCTGGTGGAAAAGGCAATATTTTTCGTTATTTAAAGACATTACGCCAGTGCGAGACCTTGTGTCGGAGTAGGTGTCATTTGTTGCTGGGTTCGTAACTTTTGCTCCGAATAACTGTTGCACAGTTAGTTGGTCCTATAAACCCGCTGCTGCCAACGTGCGTGGCAATCCCTTGTATTTTTCAGCCCATTTCCTCCTGGGTGGACGGGTGAGGGCACGTGCTGAGGTTCCAGGCTCAGCTGGTGCTGAGGCACCAGCAGAGCTGACTTCTGCGAGGGGACACTCTGCGAGAAGAGGCTGGTTGAAGGAAGCAAATCCTGCAGGTTGGGAAGCAGTTCTCACTTCCACCCCCCCCCCCTCCTCCCAGCACATCTGCATCTTCCCTGGCAGAAGGAGCAGGCTTGCACCCATCCGTGGTCTGCTCCCCTGTGCTGTGGGACAGAGCCAGCGCCTGCCCTGTGGGTCTGGGGTCTGCAGTGCCCTCTGCTCCCCTGCCTGCGGCTGAGGCTTGGCCCAGCTTTCTGGGGTGGGGCTCATTTTGTTTTTCCCAGCAAGGAATGGGTTGGCGCGGTCAGCAGCTCTTCCCTTTTCTGTTCAGGCCCTGCAAAGAGGCTTTTTTGTTTCTCTGCGCGAGTGCTGCTTCCTTTTTCCAGCTTTCCTCCTGCACGGGCTCGCCTGCCCTGGCAGCACATGCGTGCACGTGTCTCAGCAGCAGCAGAGCGCGCGCTGCTTTCCGCCGGGGTGACAGAATCCTTCTCGCCCACCCACTGCGTGCAGCACGTTTCAAGCCTCCCTGCTAGGAACTTTTGTTTCCACTGTCTCTCCGAACTAAGCATCTGAGATCTGTGCCCACCCTGAATTGCATGGCTGAGCTATGCTGGTTTTTTTTTTTTTCCGGACGAGCCATTCGGCGCTGTCTGCAAACTGCAGGGCTGCTGCCCCCGTGCCCATCCTGCTGCATCCTGAGCCCTTTGGGGTTGCCTCCTCCTGCAGGCACCGGGGCAGCTCTGCAGGCTGTTGCTGCTCTAGTTTCCCCCACATTTCTGGCACTCGTGGCCCGGGGAGAGAGGTTAGGACAGCTGTTAGACTGATGACAGCATTAAGTTGAGCGGGTCGTGGTCTTTTGGTGCAAGGGTCCTGTGGCAGCCCTGTGGGTTAGCAGGGTGAGGACTGTTGAGGAGTTGTACTGGCAGCCTGTACAGCTGCAGTTTTAGTGGTTGTGGCAAACGCGGCCATGTAGTGGTGGGGAATATGGAGATCAGTGAGGATACGTTGTGTTGTCGAGGTGCACTTGACCGCTTTGTTCCTTGCAGCTTTTTGCAAGCCTCACCTTTTGCTTCATTTGAAAACCTGCTTCCTGTTTGTATGAACCACACTGGCTCCTCTGCTGCCTGTGCCTGCGCAGGGCTTTTCCTGTGCACCTTTTGTCTGAAGCTGAGCAGAAATGTTTCAGTGAGAGACATTGGGGCGGAGGGAAGTGGGGGAGGGACGGGATGATGGCATAGCTGACTTCTTGTTTTGTTTTGTTTTTATCTCCCTCTCTTGCCCAACCATGGCTTCTTAAATCCTCCTTTAACGATCACTGAGCTGTTTGGATGCTAAGTGATGCTTCTGCATCTTCTGCCAACTTCTGGCAGTTGCTTATTCAAGTTTTCTAGGTGTTCTTTAGCTACAAATGTACAGCAAGGCTGGAAATGAGGGTGCTGTGATGGAGCAGTGCAACTGTGAATCCCAAAGATGGCCACCTGCAAGCCCTGGGATATACATGCTGCTGGGGTCGCATGTCCACACTGCTCTGTCACACGTGTGTGCCCTTTGGCTGAGACTCAACTCCCAGCAGTGACTCCATTGTCAGGCAGGCATCTGGAAGGGAAGCAGAAGAGACTGAAGGAAGAGAACCAGGCTGGAAAGTTGACACGGTGAGCACACCTAGGTGCAGCATTATCTGATCGGACAGCAGCCACAATAAACGTTGCGTGTTTTCCTGGCATGGTTCTTGCCCTGGGTCAGAGTCATTGGGCAACACTGGCCTCAGGGACGCTCACTGCCCAGATGGCCAAAGTGCAGCCAAAATGGTTTGAAACGAGACTGGAGCAGGGCTCTGCTCACCGCTGGAGGTGCAGTGTGTGTGTGCACCTTTGGTTTAGTGCTTGTCCCAGTAGCTAAGGAGTGGAGAGCATCATTTGGTGTGGGTGGCATTTTCCTGCTGCTCGCTGTCAGTGTGTGGCTTTGTGAGTTGCAGGCTTGTTTGTTACAGCCATTCCGTATTTGAAGATAACTCACCCAGACTTCTGTATTTTGCTCTTCCTACCGACACCAGCAAAGTGTATTGGCCAGGTGTTTTGCATCCCACTGACTTCAGAAGCAGCTGCCTCACTGCTAGAACAGCAAAAACTGTACTTGAGGAGCGCTCGCTGCCTTGGTTGTTGGGGCAGTGCTGACTGGAACGCGTACTATATTTAGAGCTGATTTCATTAAGATGAAAAAGGGAGTGCTACTGGTAATTTCTCATCAGCCTTTTTTCCAGCCTCCAAGCCTGCTAACTATCTCCTGCATCTAGCGCTCGTCATGACTGCGTTTTGTTGCCCATCCTTTCCTTTCTCCAGCCTGTTGGATGAGGTGAGGAAAGGCTCTCCTGCTCCAGGTGAGCCAAGGGAAGATCTGGTACCACTCAGCCAAGCCGTGCAGCCTTTGTCCCCCTGCTGCACCCGCCCTGGGCACAGCTGCTGTGTGCTTGGCTGGGGAGCATGCTGCTGCTGGTGGGGCCATCACTGCTCTGCAGGAGGCACGGTGGGGTGTGATGCCTTGTAACCCGTGTCCCTCCTGCCCAGATTCCTCCCAACGCTGTGTCTCCCACTGCCACAGGGTCACCGTCGGGGGTCACCAGTGATAAATTGCCTTTCAGTGGAGAGCGGTGTGTTGTGGGGCTGCTGGAGTTGCGTGTTGGACCTGGAGTTTCTCCACTGCTGTGGCCCTGCGTGTGGCAGGGGGGTTGGAGATTCATGATCCTTGAGGTCCCTTCCAACCCTGGCAATTCTGTGATTCTGTGAACCCGGGAGCTGCTGTGTGTGTGCTGCAAGTGGTTCTGGGTTGTACGCTCTGGCTTTGGCACAGATTGATCTGGCGGTTTCAAAACTGCCACTGTTGAAACTGAGTGTGGGAACTGCCAACCTGCATGCAAATTCGGGTACATTTTTAATTTTATTTTTAACAAGGCATAAGTAATGGGCACAGTGGCAGAGCACTGAAAGTATCTGTAAGGAAAAAACAACAAAGGGGGGTTTTGTTTGCTGTGCACGTGGCCAGCTTCGGCGTTGTCTGCTCTGTCAGCAGGGGAGCAGGGCTGTGTCCCAAGTGCCTGGTTCTTGCACTGCATGATGTGAGGGCAGCTCTCCCCTTTCCCCCTCCCTCCTCCAAACCCCCAGGATACTGCTGAAGGGAGCATGGCCGTGTGGCTGCAGTGCAGACAGGAGGGTTTTTGGGAACCACCAAGCTTCCGTGGGTCCATTGGGGTCTGGCACCACAGGACTGAGCATTTGCAGGCTTGCCCTGAGTGCAGAGATGTGGTTGCTTCATGATGCAGTGGGCCCCAGCTTCACACCTGCACGCATCAGTGGGATTTCCTTTTGGATCCAAACCCGTGTTTAGAAGTAATAATGAATGCCTGCACATAAAGAATGTGTGCCCAGAGAAATAAATGGTGCGTGCCCGTCAGGACGTGCTAACTGGCTTTGTGCTGTGCCTTCCTTCCAGTTGGACCGCTGCGCGTGGAGTTCTCCCAGCCTGTGAACCTGGAGGAGGTGGCGAGCACAAACCCTGAGGTCAGGGAAGGAGGTCGTTTTGCTCCAAAGGACTGCAAGGCTCTGCAGAAAGTAGCAATCATCATCCCGTTCCGAAACCGAGAGGAGCATCTGAAGTACTGGCTCTATTACATGCACCCAATTCTTCAAAGGCAGCAGCTGGATTATGGGGTGTATGTCATCAACCAGGTAAGATGCTGAGGACGTGAGGCTTTTAACCCTGATGGCAGTGCCCCCTGGAACAGAGGAGTGGCTGCTCTATCCTGAGTGTCAGTGGGCTGATGGGCAGGGATAGAGATGCTGTAAAAACGAAGCTGAAGCACCACAAATGGAATATGAGCAATTTTTTCTTTGATGGTTCCGATGGAAAACGTGGGGTGTTTTGCTCCCATCCAGCCTGGCTTACCTTGAAGACGTTCTAGTTGTTCAGAAGGAAAAGACTTCCTAGTAGCACAACCGACTAGTGAAGTGTTCCTTTCTCACATCTGCCTCAGGAATTGCATGCGGTGATCTTTAAGGCGACCAGGCAGCATTAATACCTAATCCTGGGAATGGTGTAAAGGTGTAGGATTTCACTCACTTCTTTAAGCAGCTTTTGCTCACTTTAGTAACAGCACACAGAGTGTCAGGACGGACAAAACAAAGGTGCTGCAGTGCAGCAGGTAAGTGGTCGTCTTGGGGGGAAACAGCAGAAATGGAACAATTGGTAGAGTTCTGGGTTTTGGTGTGTTTTTTTTTTTCTTTTCCTTTTAGTGTCAGGGAGTCGTAGATCTTTCTTAAAGAGGAAAAAAAGGGTACGTTTCACTCCAGAGCACAGTGGTGGTTAGATAATTGGGTGTTGGAAAGCTGAGGACATGTGGGCAGTCGTGTGGGCTGTGATGTGGCAGGGCAGCACGGCTCTGTTGATCTGCATGGGCAGCTCCCAGCACAGCTTCTCTCTCCAGTGGGTACTCCTGCCCTATTTGAGCCCATTTCACAGTACTGAGGAGCAACACGCTTCCTGATACGTACCTGCAGTTTTTGGAACAGACAATGTATCTGGGTGCATTGGCCACCCCAGTCCCCCTGATCTGGCAGGTCTGCCCGGGACACGGCACTGCTCAGCTGTGAGGATGTGCTGGGATGGCAATCCCTGCAGTGGTCATCTCAGTGAGCCAGAGCCTGCCAGCAGCTTCCCTGGAACACTGGGAGGAGATGCTGGTGTGGTGTATCTGGGGCTTGGAGAGCTCAGAAAGCAACCAGATCCCACGGTGCTGCACTGGTGTCATGGGGCTTGCACTGCCCTGCCTTATGGCTCATCGGATGCTGTGCCCGCGTGGCCGTCGGTGTTCTCTGAAGCAAACCTTTGCAGAGTGGCTTTAAGCAAATGTTCTTTTCAAATGCGTCCCTTGGGCAAAGCTGGAGTGGGAGCAACTTCTAGCACACTGAATGTGTGAATGCTGGACGCATCTGTGGTCAGATGCAGGTTAGCAAGGAAGGCTGTTGGATTTGCAAAGTAAACGCACTCCTTCTGCACGCCTCTAAAAAGTCATCCATGTTTGGGAGAGGCAGCAGAGTCAGCAGTAGTAAAAGTTCTGGATGTGTCTCTCAAGGGTGAGCAGGAACGTGGAATGGAGAGATTTGCAGAAAATGAGTTAATTCTGCCAGAATTACGGTAGGAAAATAGTCTTATTTCTCTGCTGTCTTGACAATTGCTTTTCTCTTTTTCTTGTCTGTCCTTCCCTTTGCATCTGCCCTCCTTTGTGTTTTTTTTTTTTTTTTTCTTTTTTTCCTTCTAGTGGGGAAATATTACCTTTACTTGTTAATCCTGTCTATAGCAAAGCAATCACTGAAGCAAGGAGAATTACTGTGTGATCTGATTCTTACACGCTGCCTACGTGCTCTTCTGTCCTCTGCATCTCATAAAAAGAAAGAGGAGCGCTTGAGCCCTGCTACTGCTGCACTGGTAATGTCAAACTTCTTCCTTTCGGAGCAATGCGTTTCTGTCTTGAGCCCGTTGTGTCTCTGCCACACTGGTCCTGTGTGCCTGAATGTGTCAGAGTTGGGTTTGGCTGAAGCCAGAGCAATGTTTCTGAGATGCCCACAGTGTGTAACAGGAGCCAGTGGAAAAATGCGTATTACGCAAGCGCTGCAAAACCCAAACCTGACACCAGCTCCACTTATCCAACCATTTTGCACTGGCCTCCAGCATTTCCCTGTAGTATTCCAAAGAGTTTTCCCAAGAGTATGTGTGCGTGAAGGTGTGTGTGTCTGTGTGGGAGGGGGGCATTGTGCTCATCCATGTCATTTTGCAGTGTGCACCAGAGCTCCCCAGGTGTGGAGCACAGAGGGAGCAGTGCTTGGTTTTCCTGCGGCTGCTCTCTTCTTGTGCCCTGTGTTAGGGGTGCAGGAGTCTCCTGCAGAGGTGGATCATGCTGCTGTGGGAAGAGTGCACAGCACTTCAGAATAGCCCAACAGAGAAGCAGCAAGGGTTTTCTTGGTGTCTCCCCGCAGCCCTGGAAATCTATTTCCACCTGCTCAAAGAAGGCTGATGCGTGGATGCCCATGTGGACATCCTGTGCGTGTGGACCAAGGTTGGCTTGGAGGATCCCTGATTTGGCTGACAGCCTCCTGTTGGGGGTGATGGCTCTCTCCTAGCCTGCCAAAAACACGTCCTTGCCATTACCTGCCTCAGACTCATCAGGTTCAGAATTACATTGAAGGAGGTGCATCCCCAAGTCCTCTGCCCTGCTTTGTAACTGCAGCAAGTATCACAGAGCTGTCTCCTACCTTAGAGCACAAAGCAGGATGAAACTGGTGTGAAACTACCATTCAGATGGCACCCTGCTGGTTTGGAAGCCTCTTAGCACAAGCAGCAGTTCTGTTACACCCCAGCTGATGTGACTGATACTGAAATAGGGTGGCAGTATCCTTAGGTGAGTTTGGCTGAGCAGATCAGGTCCAGCAAAGGTGAGCAATGGAAGTAACTAAACCTGGCTGCTGTTCTCCCAGGGCTGATCCTCTGCATGTGTGAGCAGCAGCCAGTGCTGGTCTGTGAGGTCGAGGCAGCTGGCCTCATGGATCAGTGTGACTGAGGACAAGTTTGTATGTACTGGCAGAGACACCGGGAGTAAAGCCACTGGTGCTGGGCACAAGTGATGGCTTCTGATGTGGGTTGAGTTCTGAGATGAGAAATCACAGGGAGAAATTTGTCCAGGCAAAACTAGTTAGGAGAAACATGCTTGCAAAAGATGCAAACTGCATCTTTTCTTGTTAAAAGCCTGGGAAATAAGTGCAGGGGCTATGCTTGGAGCCTGTCTGCAGTGTTGGAGCAGCAGTCCTCCATCTGCTGCATGGCTCTTCAGGGCAATGCTTCTTGGCCAAAGGGTGTCCAAAGTGATCCTTTGCTGTGTGGCAGAGAGCAGGAGCACCCATGGTTCTTGGAGCTGCCAAGCGAGGCCAGAGTTGGCCGTTGCTTCTGTTCTGCTTCACCTGCTTTTCAATCGTGCCATGTCCTACACCACCTGCATGGGGCAGCTGCCTAGAAAGATCTCCCGTCACAAAGCTGGGAGTCAGAGTCAGAAACCTGCAAAACCGCTCAGAGTTTGGAGAGATTTGAATCCCACGGGCTGCAGGGATGCTGATGCTTCTGAATTGCCTTGGTTATGAGACAGCTTTCTCCAAAAAGCAAAACCTCTTGGGTGGTGTCAAGAGATGTGAGAATGCAGCTTCTGGTAGAATTATTAATCCCTGTGTATATCCCCTGGGTGAGTTAAAGGCCACCTGAAAGCAGGCTTAAATAAGGCTGAGCCTCTGCTGATCATAAAACCAATCTGGAACACTCTCTTTGCCTTGAAGTGGTGTGATGAGAAGAGCAGCCAAAGGGGATGAAATGAGCAAAGAAGCTCAGCTCCTGGTGCAGGAGAGTCCCCGAGCATTTCTTCTGAAGCCCAGCTTCTGGCGTGGCCCAAAACGTTCCCTGTGGGTCAGCTCTCCTGGCTACCCTGGCTGTGCCACTGCTGTGAGCCCCAGCTGCAGGGCTGGGTGTGCGTGGGCTCTGCAGCCCCTTTGCCCACCAAAAGCCTTCTGTTCCCACAGCTGTAGCCACTCCCTCTCCCCATCCCCTTTGTTCAGCTTTCCTCTGCCTCCCCGCGCTCAAGTTTTCACAGATCTTGCTTATGCATGATGGTGATCAGCTTCCCACCGCCTTGGTAAAGGCATGAGCCCTTTTATTTCAGGTGAGGGTGCTGAGAACCGGCTCAGATCCTCCCCCGCTGAACTTCACTCCTCTCTGTGAAGTCATTTAGGCCCCAGGCAGACAATGAAAGCTTTTGAAAGCTGTGGTTTGACACTTGCATGTTAAATCCTTCATTTGAAAGATAGATGTAACTGTTTTATGGTTAAATTGTTGGCTTTCAGGCTGCAGAGCCATTAAGCATTTCGGATTAATCAGTTTCCAAACAGATTATTTATTAACCAAGCAGAGCCATTCAAGAGAGGAGGTAAATGTGATGCTTGAGGCTGCTCTCTTGAGTTTTATCTGTCCTTGATTTGTGTCCCACACCAGACTCGTAGAAGGGTGGGGAGCTGGTTTGCATGCTCTCATGCATGCATGCGCATGCTGCTGGAGCCAGGCATGGCAGGCAATCCTTTCTTGACGTTGCTTGAAGCTGTGGAGAGGGGGAGGTTGGATGTGGTAGAGCGGGGAGGGGCTGGCAGTTTGGGTTTTGGCTGCAGTCTCTTTTCAGCATTGCCTCGTGCTGTTCCCTGCACAGGGCTTGGGCTTGGTGCTGCTGTCAGGGCTCTGGGCCTCCACTGTCCCTGTGCACGTGGATACAGCCCCACTGCTGGACCTGAGAGCATCCCCACTGACTTGCTGGCCACATCTGTGCAGCACTGCGAGTGCTGCAAAATGCCTCAAGTGCAGAAGGTTGGGCCCACTTCTCTGACCAGCTGGGACCAGATCAGTGCCACCTCCCAGCAGTGCCAAAGTCCCGTGAACCCCACGACAGGTAGGAGACTGCTGGTTTCCACTGGTTAATTCAGTGTTTATTTGTTTT